GCGAATCTCAAAGCCATGGTACATGAACATTCTAGAAGTTGCCCAGACTTTGTGGGTATAACCTGTAGCATTCACAAAACTAGTCATAAAGTGGACGGTTTAAAAAAAAAAAAAAAACCCACAAAAAAAACCCAAAACAACCCTTGGGTGAGAAACTGAGAAACTACCAAGTTTGTCATTTCAAATTTATATTGCATTTGATTTCACCATGTCTTCATTCAAATAAGTAATTTTTTAAAAGAAAGTTATACTAAATTGGGGAATGAATAATACAAACTTAAAAATAAAGAATGCTAAGATAAATTCCCTTTTACTACTTATATTTGTGAGCCTCCAAAGAACGTGGTCATTTAGGGGTGTGAAGCATACACATGGCCAGATAATAATGCCCACGCAAAAAAAAAAACTTTCCCCAAACAATCCAAAAATAGGTAAGCAAAAAGTAGTGGGGACTCCAGAGACTTACATGAATTCTTAGAACAGATGAAGAGAGAAGATTTTTCTACATGAAATAACTGTCACATGAAATTAATTTAATAGAGAAAAACCCAATTATGGCAATGTTACAAGATGACTAGGGTAAAAACAATCTATCACTCAGATCTTTATTTCCCCTAAAATTTCTGAACGTTTATCATGTATTAACTCATACTGCATTTACTTGTAAATATCTTTTCTTTCCCACTATATTTTATGCCTCTTACATGCAAGAATCAAGTCTTTGAATCCCCAGAAAGTTTTTCACATTACAGGCAATTAATCAACTTGGTTCAAATCATCAAAAGTTTGTAATGATGTATTATGCCATTCTCAAAGAATTTTCTGAAAATCTAGGAAAAATGCAGCTACATCATGGTCACGTTGGTAAAAGAAAATGCTTGCCTAGAGATAAATCAATAATATTCAGGAATCCTCTCTTTTTTTAAGAGGTTAGATACTAGAGGAAAAGGGTTTGTTACATAAAGGGGTGGTTAGTGCCAATATTGTGTTCTTGAAAAACCTCCCATTCTGCAAAACTATGCACTAAAAATAACAAGAATTATGGGGGAAAATAGAGTTGGGGCAGACTGTTCAACATTTATGAAACTTTGTAACTAGAGCACTAACAAAAAACATTAACAATCCTATTCAAAATACTAGCACAATTAAATCTGTACTGGCATGTATACCTAGCACCCTCACTTAAACCTCACTTTGAAGGATGGACTCAAGCTCTATCCAGGATAATATAAGTGGTACTGGTTCACCACTGTTTTTTGTAGTTGAGTAATATTCCATGGTAAACATATACCACATTTTATTAATCCAATCATGTATTGATGGGCACTTGGGTTGTTTCCAGGGCTCCTGCTTCTTTAAGATGTAGGTGCTAGGGGGCATTCATTTCCAATAGAGATCATTTTCATCAAAATTAATCCAAGATTATTAATCCATTGATTTTCATCAATCTATTATTTTAATACAGAGGTAAGTGTTTTTGCGGCTTCTTCATTTGCACTTGAGCACTGCAGGTATCACTTGCATGAAAGAAAGATACTTTTGTGGATGTTCTGGTTTTTTTTTTTTTCCTTACAGTTTACATATTTGGTAAACCTGACTCTAATTGTGAGAAATCTTGACCTCGATTGTTACAAAGCATTTAATGTTCTGGGAAAAATCATGTTGGAACCAATATAACTTCTGGGTTACACTAATATTTCTAAATGCATGTAAAATAATTATGTCAAAGAAACTCATGTTTAGCAGAACAGACAAAATTAGTAAGTAACCCAGGTATTGGCACGTGTGACCTGAGTTTATAGTAGGGGCAGTTGTAATCGTAGCAATGATGGCGGCTACCAACACTTCTTGAGGCTTACTGTGTGCCAGGCATTATGTTAAACCCCTTATATGGATTATCTCTTTATACTTCACACATGCAAGTAGGTGAAGAAATGGCTATTTAATAAGATTAAGTAGTAATCTCTCAAGTTTACAAAGTTGGTAAGCAGTGAAGCTAGGATTTGAACCTAGATCTTTCTGACTCTATGGCCTCAGTCATTAATAACCACAATGAAATAATATTTTCTATCCAATGGAAGTGTGAAACGATTCTATAATGGTAACTGACAGGGTGACTCAAGGCTCTTTATCCAACTGGTACATATAAATGTTAAAGTAGGTATGATGTATGGACCTAAAAAACCGCTAAGCATTGTAGAGTGCTTATTATTTTTCCAGACTTCAGCTTTCTGGCTAGGATATGAGGGAAATCTTTGCACATGGCCAAAGAAGAATTCCAGAAGTGAGACACTTCCTTTTCAGTTCTTTCCAGCTGGGTCACAGGTTCGCTGTGATGACTCAGGCTATGCGAGGGCCTTGGAATGGTCATGCAGGCATACTTCTAAATTCCACACGGGACATCTGACTGGGGCGTGGGGGGGGGGGAGGATTATGACTAGGGAATTCATACCCAACTACAGCCAGGACTTTAGGTGTGGATGCCAACAAAAGAACTTGTGGTGAAATCTTGACTCTTCCTTTCATTTAGATTCAATTTAACTTGCTATGTGCCTGGAATTAACTATGCCAAGTGTTAAGGCTACAAAACCGAATAATCCATCAAGACCTCACAGTCCCGTGGAGCTAACTGCAGGCCTTTCATGGAGCATACTCTGTGCCAGGCAATCTTCTTGGCACTTCACATGTATTAACTCATGTAATTCGCACAACCCTATAATGTACGGACTAATGTTCTCCCTATTTTATAGATGAGGAAACCGAAGTGCAGAGAGCTTAAGAAACTCACCTAAGGTCACACACCTGATAACGTATCAGTACACCCAGCAGAATATTATTAATAGTAGAGGAGAAAGTGATTAATCCTGGGGAGGACGGGGTTCTGGGAGGAGTGCCAGTTCAGCAAAGCCTTCCTAGCAGATGTCGAATGGCTATCAGGGACAGCAGGGGGAACAGCACAGGCAAAGGCACGGAGGTGGGACATGTGTACAGTCTGCTACTGTGAAATAGACGGTAGACAGGATAAGGTCACAGGAGATGACTGCACAGCAGTAGGAAGAGAACACATATAGGAAAAGTTCGATTCTATGAATTGGCTGTACCGAGGAGTTTGTTTTTATGTGGGAAATATTGAAATAGGTTTTAAAGATGGGAGAAAGCATGTAAACGAATTTTCTTTTTTGGATCTAGCTGCTGTGTGGAGCATGAAATGATGAAAGGCCCAGGTTTGGAGGTGGGGGGGGCAAGGTTGGGGAAGGAAGGCAAAACCTAGAAGTAGAGACCATGTAAGACACTGTAACAATAGTCCCAATGAGAAACCAAGGTGATGGGGAAGGAGGGATGATGAGTAGTGAGATTCTTTGTGGCCAAGTCAATAGGACTCATTGATTCAGGTAGGGGACAAGGGGCTGGGGGGAGGTTTCTTCATCATGAGTAGAGATTTTATATTATACCACAGACCCTAAGGAGATCTGACAACTAAATGTAGTGTGGTATTCAGGCACACATAAAGGACATGAGGGAAAAAATAAGGAGATCTGAATAAATGATGGACTTCAGTCAATAATAATGTATCAATATTGGCTCATTAATTGTTACAAATGCACCACACTGATGTAAGATGTTCTTAATATGGGAAATTGGGGGATGGGGTAGACTTTGTGTACTATCTATGCACTTTATCTACGGGTATAAAACTATTCTCAAAAATAAAGTTGGCCAGCGTGGTGGCTCACGTCTGTAATCTTAGCACTTTGGGAGGCTGAGGTGGGCATATCTCTTGAGGCCAGGAGTTTAAGACCAGCCTGGACAACATAGCAAGATCCTATCTCTACAAAAACAAAAAAATTAGCCAGGCATGATGGTACATGCCTGGTGTCACAGCTACTCAGGAGGCTGAGATGAGAGGATCACTTGAGCGTAGGAGTTTAAGGTTGCAGTGAGCTATGATTGTGCCACTGTACTCTAGCCTAGACTACAGAGCAAAACCCTGTCTCTAAATAAATAAATAAACAATTATAGTTGGGGACTTTCACACTATTCTCTCTAAAATTGATAGCACTATACAGAAAAACAACAAGAATACAGAAGAATTAAACACCATCAACCAAGAGTATTTAATCAATATCTGTAGACAACCCCACATAACAATAGCAGAATATACATTCTTTTCAAGCACCCACAGATCATATACCAAGATCATATACCATATCTTTGGTCATAAAACAAACCTGAACAATTAAATAATTGGAAAAAAATGAGTAAAAATTGATCCTTATGAAGCTATGTGATTGAAGTCAGCTCTAGGCTCTTGCCTGGGAACTTGGACTTAAAAGGGGACTGCATTTTAGATGCATGATTGTGGTTAATAACTAATGCTTGGTACCATTATCTTCACCTTCCTTTGTATAGTGTCAAAAACCCCCACTGAAGGAAACAGCAACGCTTTACTTTGCTGATGATTATTGGTTTCATAATATATCACATACAATCCCCAATCCCAGAGCAGCTATGCCTATTCGCTTGGGATGCCCACTGACAGATAATCACCACCTGGTGTTCCTGCCCCGTAATAATGTTCTTTTATCTCACTCTACCTTACTCCTTGAAATAACATCCAAAGATAGATAAATTACTCCACTCCTAAAACTGGTTGAGAGGACCAAGAACCAAAAACCAAGAAAAGGTTACAGTTTCCCAGCTTACACTTGTGTCCTCTCCCTTAAGGCGGTTGGCACCTGCCTTTCTGCTTTATTCCAGCCCTAAGTGGGAAGCTCCTGGCTCCTGGAGCCTAGAGCATGTTCAGGAGTAAGGCCGACTCAGCCACGGGCGCAGCCACAACTGGGCGGATGACTCGAGCTGGTTCCAGAAAGAAAACAAATGGTCTCAGAAATTTGGTGGTGATGAGGTAACCGTGGGGTGCGGGGGTGCGAATGCCTTTTCCAGGAAGTTGGTTAGTGAAACAATTCTGGTGGGAAAAGACTTAAAAAAAATCCACTTACTGATACAAGAAATCAGATCATTAAATCTTTCCTTAGGAAAGAGGGGGTTTTCCAGCCCACGGAAATAGAGCTTTAGAACGCCAGCAACTGAGTTAATGTCATGGTTACTCTGGTCATCGGCCAAAGGATTTTCACCTAAACAAACAAACAAAAAATTAGTTACATGTATAGTGCTTCTCTTCTATCCTCTGAGCAAAAATATGTTTCTATACACACACTCATGGCTATATATTCATGTATCTTTTAATTATGCTTTATGAAAAATTATATGGTACTAAAATTAAAATAATTGGTTTAGATATCCCACCCCATGATTAACCTAAAAATAGCTGGCTAAAATAGTTTTTTTTTTATCTTATGCTACCAAATAATCCCTTACAAGTTACCCAAATCTTAAAATAAAATATTGTGGGATTTATAATTTTACCCAACTTTTTTTTTTTAAGCTGAAATCTGTAATCTTAGTTTGACATGAATTCAAAAATTACATTCTGTGTTTCTTATCCTGCTGGGGAAAAGACACACTATAAGTCTGTCTGGCTATGCTACATGGGTCAGCAAAATTTATCACAAATTTCATAGGCTCCACCTAATTATGAACACCTATAATTAAATAAGTAGGTGTTTCCCAAAGTGGCATGGTGGTACATTTGAAAGCCTTTTTGAGCAGTGGGAGACTCTGAAATCAGATGGAGGAATTTGAAAATGTACCCTTTGTGTTACCCAGGAGTTTGTATATAAAGTAGAAATTTTAAAAATATGTCACAAACATAAAATTATATTGTTGTTTATGGCAGGCAGTTTTAAACTGGTAACTAGTCTGACTGGTCCACTTCCCCGAGAATTAAATTGAGATGAAATCCATAAGAAATTCAATATAATATGCAGCCTTAAATCAAACTCCATTTTTTATTCACAGGTCTATTCTTCCCTTCTGAAGTTCACAAAAAGTTACAATGCACTTTAACATATCTTTATTGCCTCGTGGGGTAATTTATTTTCAGGGACCTATTGTTCATTTTTCTCTGCTCCTAGGGCAGGAAATCACTGAACATGAATTTACTAGAGGTTTTTTTTTTTTTTTTGCCCACTGTGAGAACCTCACCCAAACAGATCACAAAAAAATAAATACCAGGGGAATCTCCAGGGAAAAATAATAGCACATTTTGCCTGTGGTGTCTGGCACAGGAACCTGATACTTTACCACCCTGCAACTTATCACCCTGACTCTGGTCAATGTGACAGACTTGGCACACGTGGCTATTGGTGGGAGCCTGCTCTGCTCTACACATCATATCCTTAGCAGAACTTGGAAGAGGAAAATACAGTGTGGCCCCAAGTTCACCTCTTCAACCAAGACTTCACATTTCAAAGGGCTCTATGCCAAGTCTGGGCCAGGGGAAATGGGACAGAGACAGACAGAGGAGGTGGTAGCTCTGAATCCATGTAAGAATCACTCTGCTTTCTCACCTTGACCTCTAAGCAGAGGAAGGAAGATACAGATGCATCCAGAAGTAGGTGCAGTATAAACCATCACAACTGGAGACCATTAATAGCTAATAGCTACCATTAAAGAGTCAGGCATTTTCACGGTCCTCACAACACTCCTGCAATTTTGCAGATGAGGAAACCGAGGCCAAACAGGAATTGAGTTACTTTACCCAAATTACACAATTAGTAAATCAGAGTTTGATTCGATTCTAGGTCTGCCTGATGCTAAAGCCTGTGGTTTTACTAAACATAATGTACTAGTTAACAGTTTAGTAAAATGTATTTGATGGCCAATATGGGTAAGAGTCAGGCACCAACTAGGGTCGCAGGGAAGGAGGCTGGGGATGGTAATAAGAAGGAAAGAGCTCCCCCCAGTAGGAGCAGCTGGGCAGCTGGGAACAGCTGCCTCCCACATGGGCTCTCTAGGCCCACGGCTGTCCTTGCCCCCTTTTAGGACCCCAGCAGGCACCCCCTTTGATACCCGTGCCGCAGATTATCAACGTCAGTTTCAAACCAGGACACAAAGCTCATACGCTTTCATACCGTTAATAGCAAAGACTTATGATTTTGGCCTCACCTCTCAGCTGTTCTGAATAGATTCTTACCTTAGCATCCAAAGTGAAGTAAATGCAAAGAGAAAGGTTTTGAGGATATGCAGAAAGAGGGCCACTTCGGTCTACAGGACATGATGACTTTTTAACATGGTTTGCTTATAGGTATAGACATGCAATTACCTCTCTCAAATGAATTTTTAATGTCATTGACTTCCACCTGGGAACCAGACACTCTGAAAATCCCCTGATGCTGAAGACCTAAAGAGGATAGAAGAGACAGAGGATGAAAAATCCCATCACACCCTACAGGCCCCCCTTTTCTCAGAAATTAAATGTTAAGCAGAAAGATACGTTTTCTGAAACACCTCTAGTGATTATTTTTTCAGTAGGAATTCTGTAGTTCATGGCTTACCATAAAGATTGATGAACCGAATACAGCTTTCCACAATGAGGGGGATGACCTGCCCTGAGTCCTGGGTAAAGAGATGGAAACCAGTTAACCTCAAAGAAGGGGTATAAATGCTACATAATAATAAAGATCACAGTTTGCCAGTAATTAAAGACTGATTTTTACTCTTTTAGATGATCATTTCCAAATCTACCCCCTCTAAAATCTTCCATAAGGCAAAAAAAAAAAAAAAAAAAAAAAAAAGTGAAAGAATTTATATTTCAACAAAGGTATATTTCAGTTCTGGAGCAAACCAATAAAATACATTTAAGGCAATCCTGTTTCAACTTACTCTGCTGTGCTTAGAGATGTGAAATAGTCACCCATCTTTTTAACTTGTATTTAGGCTCACATGCCAAAATGAATAACTAATTTTTTGAAAGCTTATTTATAAAAGTGTTCAATCTTGGATGAACTTAAAAGGCAATCCCTGTATTATAATCATAGCATCTTAGGGTTGATTGGTTGTACTTGTCACTAAAGACAACCTTTCAGCTATCTCACGATCCTCTCTACAATATCCCCGTGAGTCTACCACCTAGGTGGCGACAGTCTATACCTATCCATGTCTGTAGAGGCATGATATGAGAATTGTTTCACAGGTAATTAAAACATGTCATGTATTTAGTTTGCATCAGAACTTACTCATCCTTATAGACTTTTCATCGTCATTTGTTCATGTTTTAAGGAAAAAGAAAAAGGTTGCACAAATGTACATCCCATTAGATCTCGTTTTCTTAGGAAGGAACATTTTCTGGCCTTCCTCCCCTACATCTTGTAAAATAGTCACTGCCCTCTACAGAACAAATGTAAATTCTGGCAATGCTTTCAAACGTGTGTAGGATGACAAATGAGATGAAGGAGTTGCTGAGGTCACAGATAAATATGTATCAATGCCATGCACTCTATGGAGTTAAAGAAGGTTACTGACTATGGAATTATTTTTCATGTACTTTTAAGACTCTGCTCTATCAGGTATTAGATCTTTAAAGAAAACCACATGGTTTCAAAATGGTTAGCTGACATCAGGCATCAATTCATGAGGAATTTTATTCTGAAACACAAGAAGAACTTGGTTGTCTTATTGTATGAGAACAATTCAGAACTCACTAACCTTTCCAATTAAGCAGCGGGGGAAGGATTGGGAATATGCAGTTCAGCAATTTAAACTCCTTACTATTCCTAGAATGGGTAATACACTTCTTAAGGAATAGCTTCATTTTAGCTTTTAAGACAATCTAATCAGTGTATAAACCGGTTAATGGCTCAATTACTTTTGGAGCTTGTATTAAGTTTCTCTAATTAGTTAATTTGTTTTAGGAGCATAAATTTTATTAATTTCTTAAAGAAGAGTCTTAAGAATAAAAACACATTTTAGTGTGGATGAGTTGGCTCAAGAACAGCCATGTAATTACATCAAAACTTATTGACTATGTGAGAGGATTCTTCTTTAAGATACAAGTGTGTTTTAAGGGAAGAAAACTTTATAAGAACAAATCATGTAACACTGTAATCTAAAAGAGCAAACAAATATTTAGATGTAAGTGATAAAAGAAGAATATTAGTTTACATCTCTGCTGAACTTAGTATTAAAACAAAAAGAGAAACAAAGAATACAAGGTTATTAAAAGGAAAATGTTTGCACTAAGAAAGTTCTAAATAAAAATGTCTTAGGCTTTCCTATTATTTAAAAAATATTTGTGTCTTTACATTTACTTAGTTAACTGCACATCTTTTAGCTATTATCAGCATTTTACTCAGATAAAGTGAATTTTGCAATCAAAAAGTTAACAAGGGTGTGTGTTTTAATTTAATTTCATGGATGCCAGATATCTGGGTAGAAAATATTTCACAAGAAGTGAAACAAAGGGCTGCGCTCTACCATTCAAAACAATCCCTTTGTGTCTTAGTTTCTGTGTGGGGAAAAAAGGGAAAATGGTTTTGCTCTTGTCTCAGTGACACTGTGGTCAAGCACTTTTCACAAGTGTAAAGAAAGCCCTCCGTGCTACTGCTATTATCAAAGATCCTTCACCGTGCCAGCTGGGATGGTGCAGAGCTCGTATAAGTGAATTTCCCATGATAACTGGTTTATTTCTTCTTTAGTACCTCAATTTGGTTTCTTTTAACTGCTCTTAATGAAAAAAATTAAAAAAACATAATATATGCTTTCCTATCATCTTAAGCAGTCATTCTTGTCGTGCATTATCAAATATAACAGAATCTTACATCTGCTTTTTGGAGTTTTTCTATGTTCTCTTTTTCTGCCATGCTATCAGCTGCACATCTCAATGCTTTCATTTTATCGTTCCTCTCTCTCCATCTAATTTGTCCTTGCCTATAAGCCATGTGCTGGGAAACTACATAATCAGATTTCACAATAATTTTATATTAAATTAGAGTCAATAAGGCTCTTCTGGGTTTAAGGCTTAAGGCAGTGGATTTGTTATGGCTATTTAGGTTGTCCAGTGGCTTTGCACTTGATTCCAGGGTTAGGGCTCATTTTTAAGGCTGCCAGAGTTTTCTAATCTATCTGTCTATGTATGTATGTATCTATCTGTCCATATACATGCCACATGCACACACACGTACACATACTTATTTTTAAATTATTAGTGCACACATTCAATAAACATCTGTCTTTAAAGAAAGTAAGGCATCTGTAATATATATCATTACGGGAGGTTATTAATGACATGGTTTCCCACAAAAATTGAGTCTTCAGAAACACTGCAGCCCATGTCATAAAATGTGCTACAAAGAAGAAAGAAAGCCCTTTTCTTTTTTGTAAAATTGACACCAGAGTCCATCATCCAGTATGAAATGTGTATTGGGTATTTAACATTGACTTTCCTTAATAAAAGCCCTTGATCAAATTTGATGTATTTGCCAAACACACAATGTAAAAACTACAAATTTAATCTATTTTTCCTAGGGAAGACTATTCCTTTTAAATTAGCACTTGATTTCTGTAGTTTCTTTCTAGGTAAACCCTATTTATACGCCTGTTTAATTTCCAACCGCAAACATTTTTCTTTTAAAGACCTTAAAAATCTAATGAAAGCCAAGCATGAGCTGAGCATGACTTGAAAATGATGCCAACAGTGAAAGAGGCTGTGCCCTCACGTCCCTCTAGCACTATACCTGATGTCTCGTGTGCGAATTCCTTCGTCCTCGGCTAGAAGCATTATCAGAAATATAGGAAGAAAAAGAAGACAGAGAGTAAACACAGCAGAGATACAAGATATAGACTACAGGGTCTTACAATTTATCCAATATAATGAATTCCTCAAGTCATGGGAAATAAAAACTCTTGCTGTGCTTCAAAGCTAGCCTAATGAATGGAATTTAAAATATTTTGTGCCATCTCATTTGCACGAGTAATAACAAACCATTTTATCAGGTTGCTCTTTTCCTTTTTGTACAAATTATGGCTTTAAAAAAAATAAAGAGGGCTTTCTCTTTTGCCCACATAATAACACCCACATTTATTCCCTCTTCTGAAGGCACTCAAGTCCAAATATTGTTTCCTCTCTGACTTCAGGAAATATTATATTGATTTTCTGGGAAAGCAAAGAGCCCCAGGACAGACTTGGACATAATGACCTGCCTCCTTTTATGAGAGGCTGAGACCATTATAGTGAGAAGCGTGGAGATCAGCCACCCAGATGGCTGGTGCCAGTACCTTGACGAATGTTTCCAAATCCCCATTAAACAACTTAGCATTATACTGTGAGCGGGGTCTGGACTTCCTGTGTTTCTGGGGCTTAGGGGGAACATTTGGAGGCCTAAGGGAAGGGAATATAATTACTGAGCATGGCAGAAATCAAACAATAAATGAAACACCCATAGGTCACATCAAAATTACAAAACATGGGAATTTTAGATATCCCCACCCCTGCCCATGGGGAAAAACAGTCCCTCCCCTTTCCCACTTATTTACTTTTACTTATGCATCGAAAAACACAAAGCTCTTTACTCACACTGCTGTTTTCCTGTATGTTATAGCTGACGTTTGTTTGTTTGCTGGTTTGTTTAAAAATGATAAGCATTACCAAATGGAATTGTGAGCAATTTGGCCAAATGTTACAAAGTAGGGTTTCTTGTTACTTGGTTTAGGAGTCCCTCAGTAAGACATCACCAGTGATAAAAACAAGGGCTCTGACAGATCCCCAAATGAGAAATTAAATGTAATATTTTTAGTTGTCCTGTAATTCTTCAATGCAGGTAACATCATATCCATTCAATACCTCTCAGGTATTAGTGAGATTTTATTTTATTCAAAAGTAACTATTAATGGGTCACAAATGAAAAAAATAAAATTTCGGTTTCAATGTTGTTTCTGATGGGCGGGGTACTGGCTCACATGAATTATTTTTTCTTTGGAACAGACTATCCCACCACCCAAATATTTGTAGAGCAAGACGCAGTCGTCTGTGCTGTTTTGGACTCTTCGTCTCCAGTGTGTCTGTTTGCTTTGGTGGACAAGCCCACCTATCTGCCATATCCAGTGCACCATGCACTGTATTCAGAAACTCTGCATCACCTTGGATTGTAATTGCAGAGAAGGAACCTCTTCCGCTCTTTCCCCTGTAGCGGAAAGAGGGCCAGGATTGCCTGACTTAACTTCTCCAACTATGCTGAATGGGATACGTGGAAGGGGAGCCCTGAGACCTCTCTCTGGAGGTTCCAATTTAAATTCTTTCTAAGTGCAAGGCCTATGTGGGGATACACACCACACCTGGGGATTATGTGAAACACTTCCATTAAGCTGCAAACTCTCTAGGAAAAATTACCTTCTTAGTTTATTCAGTTCAAGTTCAGAAAGTCCAGTTTAGAAACAAAATCCCAAGAATTTATGTGGAAGCCAGACTAACTTCATACAATATGACCACGGCAATCAAGAGATGGGGGGAACAAACCCACAGATACCGCCTCCCACAGCTAAATCTGAAGAATCTCCCAGCAGATGGGCTCATATGACTAATGGGGCGTATAGCAAGCAGCACCTGAAGTCCCATGGTGCTTGAGAAGTTAAAAGGAGCCTCTGAAAGTATCTAGAAGCAAATATGGAAACTTCTACCAGGCAGCAAGCACCTCATGTCCTGCCACAGCTGAAGTTTCTGAAATCTCTTTCATACACCAAATTCTGTGCCATTCATGGAGGAAGGAATCTGGCAGGTGTAAAAAAACAAAGCAACTAACCACCAAAGAGTTCAATCATGTGTGCTTGATTCCATCCACTCCTTTCATTATTTTGTGAGTGTTTTAAAAATGTGGATTTTATTTTTATTCAGGTATGGTCAGGCTAACAGATCAGGAGACAACTGCTGTTGAAAAGATGGTGTTTTACTCATAATTCCTGGGGAGGCCGCAGGGGGTGGTCGGGACACAGAGGGAGCAAGGGGAAAATGTGGCCAAGCAGAGCCAGGGGAAGCAGGGCAGGGAGGTGTAGAATTGGCTAGTTTGGACAATGTTGGTGGGCTCTGGGGCACGGTGATTATCTCTGGAACCTGGCCCTGGGGTAGTTAGGGAAGGGGAACAGTGGCCCCGAGTGTGTGAACCTGATAAAGCAGGTGGTTGGGGGGCTGGGCTCTGGATCAGGTGGCTTCATACAAAAGGCACACTTGCAAGCCCGTCCTTACTACCTCTAGGAATTGGCTACTCTCTGGATGGGCCATCCTTCCGGTCCACTAGGTCCCACGACATCAAAGCATTAACTACAGAAACTGGAAAACGTGGATATTACAACAAGGTCCAACGGAGCTTCACATGTGGTGACATCTGGTGCACAGAGGAAGCTAAGGGGATCAGAATTTTTTTTGTCACTGATTCGTGGGTAAGCCAATCTTGTAGCTGGAGCCAACGCCTCCAGTGGCATCGAATAATTGTCCCTGCGTGACGGGCAGATGCAGGGTCACCCCTGGCTGGGGCTAATAATGGAGGGACATCTTTTGAGTCTTCTACCAGAGGCCTGAAAATTGCCCCCCTCAAAGGTTCTAAAGCATGAGTTAATGTGAACAAAATAAAGTTGTGAGAGGAATTTGGAATTAAAATGAACTGCCTGTGTGGTTATCAAAGTGATTTCTGCGGCAGAGGTGGGTTATTAGGCAGACTGGTGAGTGGATGATTCTGGCACCGCTATGCCCACGTCAAGCGAACAGCGCCAGGGCCATCCGACATTCCAGTTGTGTGACTCAGTCTGGTTCTGTGCCTACCACGATGCAACTTCTGATAATTTGGTTTTCTGTACAGAAAGCCCACATGAGAGGAAGTACCGGTCAGGTTGATGTGAATATCTGGTGTATCTGGCAATTACAGTTCTCATTGCAAATTCATATATTTGCATTTTTTTTTAAATCTTTTTTTTTGAAGTGCCTTACATTAATTATAATTTGGAAATAATAGGTAAAATAAGAGAGAGTGCAAAGAGATACTATATATTTGAAAAAAAAATCAGTATTTTTTCTTTTGTTAAGTTCAGAATAGTCAGTGGCTGGATCTTTCTAGTTGGTTCACCAAGGAGTAAAGAGGGGCTTCCTTATGGAGAAACTGCCCGCCAGTAACATTATATAGAACCTCGAAAATCAATTTGCCAATTATGGCAACAGGCACACCAGCATTCTAAATGCCTCCTACCTCAAAGAGAACTCAACTTCAAAAGTGCAAAATCTTACTATGTTAATTAGAATAATTTCTGGCTGTTGCACAATGGTGACATAGAAAAATAAAAGTTGCTACAAACGGGCTCCCCAATCCAAATTAGAATCTGTTCCAAAATGACTTTTCTTTCTTAGCAGTAGCTTCGAAATCCTTCCATGAATGAAGAAAGTATAATATGGGTATAGGTATTAAAAGTTAAATTTTTAAAGTGAACCAAAAAGGGCAAGACAGAGAGCTAAAAGCATAACAATATTCAATAAAGCTCTCATTTTTAATATGACTTAAGGGAAAGTAGGAGCAGAAAGTAATCATACTTTCTACTTACAAATGTAGTAGCTATAGACATTATATTGTTTTTAAATTAAACTATCAAATAAAAAGTCTTGTTATACTATTTCTAAAAACTTAAAAGCATTTTGGATGAGCTGAACCAAGCCTGTCTCTGCTTATTAAAGAGCTTTACAATTCCATTGGGAAACCCCGAGCAAGGCCAGAGCATATCTAGTCTTGTGAGAACCTCAAACATTTCATGTTGCTATGCTTTCTCAAGCCAAAACTGTCTTGCAAGTTCATTAACAAAATGTGTTCATTCTTGCAGCATTGAAATAGTCACTTCTTATTAAAGAGAAAAGAAAGCAAGATACACTATAAGTTATAATAAAGAACTTTCATACCTTGTAGTCATATATTCAGCTCTATGACCTGTAGGAAAAAAGAATTAAAATAAGAATATTGAATGGAATCCAGTGGAATGTATTTGGTAATCTTTTGTATCATCTTTCCCTTATTTTAAGATGCTGAGTTTATAATAAGTTGCACATTTTTGGTAGAAAACATGAGGATAGCATATGAATATAGATAAATAATTCAAAGTAAATATTTCATAAAATCTTTACATAAAATTTAGTAAATTCTGTAGAGAAACATGTTAAACTTAGCAATTTGAGGTAAAGATTTTTGTTTTTTAAACAAACAAGAAATAGCTACTTGATCCTAACTGTAAGTTCAAAGATGAAATGCAAATAAAACATATCCAAGGTTTGTATGATAGTTATTCCTTCTGTTTTTTTTTTTTTTTTGAGACAGAGTCTCGCTTTGTTGCCCAGGCTAGAGTGAGTGCCGTGGCGTCAGCCTAGCTCACAGCAACCTCAAACTCCTGGGCTCGAGTGATCCTTCTGCCTCAGCCTCCCGGGTAGCTGGGACTACAGGCATACGCCACCATGCCCGGCTAATTTTTTTTTATATATATATATCAGTTGGCCAATTAATTTCTTTCTATTTATAGTAGAGACGGGGTCTCGCTCAGGTTGGTTTTGAACTCCTGACCTTGAGCAATCCGCCCGCCTCGGCCTCCCAAGAGCTAGGATTACAGGCGTGAGCCACAGCGCCCGGCCTCCTTCTGTTTTGATTGATACTTGTAGGGGGAGAAGAGGAGGGTCAAACAGAGTTGGGAGAACTCAATATCCCTTAGACTAAATTGATATTCTTTCTGCAATGGGAAGTCAGGGGACTGGAGAGCAGCTGTATTATGTAATCAGAAATGACATTTGCAGTTTTTAAAGTACAAGGACATTAAATTATACGACATTCCACCAACTTGTAAGCTAAAAGTCTTTCACAGAGTTCTCTGTCCATTAAGACATGAGCTGCTTCTTAGAACATTTGGGCTTCTTGACTTGTTTCACATATAATAACACGTCTGAATTTTTGTGGTGATCCCACAACGTGCACTCATTTCAAGTGTGTGTGTTTCCATGGTTGCTGTCCGCTCTCTCCTATGTTTAAGGTGGAGGAGTGGGAAGGGGTGTGGGAGAGTTGAGCCATTCAGCTGGCTTGTTTGCAAAGTGGTGATATGGTCCTGAAATAGCTTGAAAATATAGCTGGCAGGGAAGGTTCATGTTGTAACACAAACAGGTGAGCCCAGCCCATCCTATCTTAGTGCAGTGATTCAGACTTACAGGGCAAAGCAAATGTAACAATGGGGAAGAGAGCTACTAGCTAGGGATGGTGAATCAACGCTCCCAGGCTGCAACAGAGCCTTTTACTCTATTATCTGCTCTTGAATAACAAATTACATAAAGGATTTGATTACTATCTATTGATTAAACAGGGGAAACAGTTAATATCAGAGGATACCTTTCTCAACACAGGGGCAAGCCACACTAAGTGTTGGCAGAATCAATTCTTGGCCATGACTAGACATGGAGATAAGGGGAAGGGGGGAGATACTGCCACCCCCAGTCCTATCATTTAACCATAAGTCCCTTCCTTTTGCTAGTCTCCTGCTATCTCAGGAGAGAAGAGGAAAAGAGAAGGTGCACATAGATCTCCAGAATAATTGATCGCTATTCACGAAAGGGAGAGAAAGTCTATTGGAAAGTAGAGGGGGTAGACGGTGAGCTGATTATGGTGTGTGGTGTCTTATATAATAGCCTAATAGAAGTGTAAAGCCAAGCTGGCTATACAGGGTAAAGCGCAGAGAGAGAGAGACAGCGCAGGAGATAAAGACGTGAGAGTCACTACCATTTAGGATGAGTTGGGGATAGGAGTTAGCTACGATCGTGAGTCAGTAGCATAAGCAGAGGGTTGAGGGTAGAGGAACTATCTGGCTTGGTGCTGTATCGTATTCTGTCACGTTGCGTACTTTATTATAGCATTAAGTATAATTAGGAATGATGTAGTATGTATTAGTAACAACAATAAAAACAGTAATGAAGTCTAATATTTATCAGACACTATTTAAAGCACTTTACATATATTAACTCACAATTTTCACAATAACCTAAAGAGGTAGCTTCTATTATTACTCTTATTTTGCTAAAGAGACTGAGCATATAGAAAAGTGACTTGCCCAAGGTCATGGTCTTAGTATGGGATGGTTCTGGCACCAGGGTTCAGTTTGTGTTTTAATTCCAGTCCTGAGCTCCCAAGTACTACTACACTGTACTACCTTAAAAAAATGTAAGTCTTTTTTTCCTGGCAAATACTCTGAAAGATCTTAGAGGAAAGGTAGTGATTGTAGCTTATAATTCTGTCTGTCCCATATAGCTAAAGCCAAATACAAAATACAGAACATTTTAATAAATTTAATGAATTTAAGAAATATGTAAATTATTAAATTGATAATATCTATGAATTTAATTTGAGTAATACAAGTTAATCATCTTAAAGTGATTCAATAATGATGCTAATGACAATTCCTTATAAATGAAATGCTTTATGACTTTGAAATTTTGCTATTTTTGTTAAAATATCCCAAACAACCATTCCCTAGATTTAGAAAATGATATGTAAAATGCTTAAAATTATTTTGCTCCATCCATTCATGGTTAATAGTATGAGATAAAAAATTAAAAACCTATGAAACATACATTTTGAATAATGAACCAAGAGCAAGCTCTGTTATCATTCATGGCATAACTACACCACCACAGCCATCGTTTTTTCAGCTAATAGTCTTGAGTGTGTCTCAACTGATGAATGAGGTTTTATTTTTTAATCAGTATCATCATTAATAGATCAATAACACACAAACTTAGAAGACTCTCCTTTCTAGAGAAATGTGAAAGCTTCCAGTGGTTTGAGGATTGGATTTCAATCACTTTCTTTGGAAGGCTATTTAATTATTAAAAACAAAAGACAATTCCTCTCCCCTCCACCACCTCTACATACAAGCCATTTGGAAGAAAAAAAAATGACCCAAGATTAACTTACTCTTGGCACAAACACTCGCTTCACCTACTCTTAAATTTCACTTGAAATTATGGAGTGAATTATTTTTCACACCTAAATGCATTTTATCTCCATATAGAAAAAGGGAAAAATCAAAATAAAATCCGTTGGCAATTTGAGATTTAAAAACTCTAGATAAAATATATAAAATGTGCACAGCTCAAACCGGACAGAGACACTCTGGATTTGTTCCCTAATAAATGACGAGGTCTCCTGGTGTTACTTTCTAGCCCTTTTTCTTCCTTAAGAATACCAACTACTGCAGTGCTTTTCTAATAAAACATAATTATTCACAATCAGCTTCTCTTTTGAAAGTATATTTGTACTCCTACTCAAAGACAGAAAATGGATTGTGTGAGGATAACCTATTAGATTCCTTTGTCAGAAACCTTATGCCCAGGGCAAGAAACAATGGAATATGGAGCTCCAGTTGCTTGTGTCAGATTTTCTAGGTTTAGCAAAATTGCACCGATATTTACACCCCCTTAACTCCAAATACTGCACACAAAGAAGCCAATGAGAACATTAAGGCTCGTTACTGAAAAAGAAAAAAAAAATCTCATTGCCTCAGTTTTATAGATGTGTATCTCATTTACTGTGGTCAATTTAACTTGTTTGATTTAAAAACAAATGACATCACAAAAACATATGATGGTGTTGCTGAGGGATGAAGAAGATGATGATGAATTTGGTCTTAACGACTCATTATGCGTTTCTTTCTATTTCAATAGTTTTCAAAGATTTGGAATTCTGAATTTTGACAGTGCCACTTTAAGAGTCCAATCTAGTTGCTTCACAATGTTGTAAATCAAAGAACTTACTGGGCTACTGGTAGTCTGCCAAAAAGCAAGCAGTGAGGCAGGCCAAACACATGTCTGTAGTTACAGATTCAGCTGTGTACGATCAACTGCTAAATCTCTGGGTTAGGCTCTATTTGTTTTACTATGAAGGCAGTTTTTGCAGCAGTGAGTCCAGTATACTTCAGAGAGGTGATTTCTATATAAAAAGTCAGGACTGTCCCCAAACACACCATTGGATGTTGTACTACTAACCCTATTTAGCCAAATCCGGACTTGGATTCCTTCATAAAGGCTCCAAGACCATTGGATTACTTCACTGTGGGACAGGCGCCATTAACTCTCCTGGTCTCCTTTGGTGTAAGCCTATTAACACAAGGAGGGCTTGCATGGAAAGCCGGCAGGCTCACAATGGTTGAGCTAAAAGGTGGGGCATGTCTCCCTTGCTCAGCTTTTCGTCTGGGCAAAGCTGCCAGTGTCAAACCCAGGCAGTGACCAGCAACTGGTGTGCTGTCAAGCCTGCATGAGGGACAGGGCTGGGGAGCAGAGAGGTCTGCAACCAGTGGGCAGAAGCTGGTGTGTCTGCTGAAAACCATCCAATTCCTTTTGCAGAATAAACTGAGTCCAGTGAAGGTCTTCCACACTTGAACACAGCTGGTACACAGGAGCCCATTGAAAGAAATTCCAAGACAAAGAAATCCTGGCTTAGAGTTCACAAGGTATAATATCACTTTGTACAGTTTTGTAGCTAAAGACAGAATCTGGCATGTGAATTCAGCAAACCGGCTAAAATATAGCTCTATCCAATAATGGCATGTAAAATAATATTAACCATGGGGCTTTCCCTCTAGGAGACATGAGAGAGTCTATGTTGAATGTGTACCATAAAAGTTTTAGAATGTGGTCCCAAGTGTATTAACACATGTGTCTGCATGCAGTGCCAAGAATGAATTCGCCCACTACTTAATTCTCTCAAACTCACAGTTTCTAAAGTGGTAGCCAGTCTTGTAGGGAAGGACTTTGTGCCTGTCAGCATTAATCCACACTTAGGATAATTTATGCTGGGGGCTGGCAACTGACCTCGAAGGCATCACTTGAAATATCAGGCATTTGTGAAAAATGGGGTGGGGGGAAGACCTTACGCGATACTATGAGGGAAAAAGAAACGGACAGGACACGATTGCTGAAGTAAGGAAACTATTTAAAGATAAAAAGACTTTTTTTTTAAAGACCATACCTACAGACCAAGTTGAAAAAATAGTGTCAGGAACATCCTTATACCCTTCATGTAGATTTTTCAATTGTTAAAATTTGTCAAATTGTTAATATTTTTGGCTCTATCTTCTCTTTCTCTCTCTCTCCTTCTATATCTTTTTTTCTGAACTATTTGAAAGTAAGGTGCATAATCAAACTTCAGCAAGCATTTCTGAAGAATGCTCGAATAAGATCATTCTTCTTCATAACCACAATACCATTATCATATCTAGGAAAATTAATCTTAATTTAATAATATCATTTAATATATAGTCTATACTTAAACTTTCCCAATTGCTCTTAAAGTATCTTTCAGAAATTAATCTAATCTAATGTGTGATGGTTCACATATTGTGTTTGTCTATTTTATTTTTTTAAAGACACTTTTTAGTAGTTTAAACGTTGCATTTTCTTTTTTTCTAAGTGAAATTGGCCTTTTATCTTGGATTTGGCAGCCCAAGTGTGTAATACTTAGTCTTACTTAGGTCATGGTAACCCTTCTCCAGGTGGTCATTCCCTAAGGATGATCAGTTATTTGGAGGAAACCAGGAGATAAGGTGATGGAAACACTGCTTTATGGGTAAGGAAGGTTCCAGAATGGTAGGAGGCAAGAATTTAGGTCTAAAAATGGCAATCTCTTTTTGATGAGTTACTCACACAACTCAGTCCTCTCATTGCCACTACCTTCCATAGTCTCTTTCACTTTTTATAACTTCCAGCAGGATCTGGTGTGAATAAAAGATAACTAAAGCTACAGACTAAGTTGCGGCACTTAAGACAGGGACTTTGCTTGCATTTATTTTTTTCCTTGTAAATTTCATGACTATGAAAAGAGAAACAATAACATTTATATGGTCCCCTTTGCCTATAGTCCTTTTTCCCCTCAGTTTCCTCATTTGTAAAAATGGGGAAACTAACAGTGCTCAGTTAAATAAATATGTAACTCAGAACAATACCTGGCACAGAGAAAGCCACAGAGAAATATGTGTTAGCTGTTGTTGTTTGTGTTATTATGATTAGACACAGTAATCTACTTATACTACTATATTATTTCTCAACTACAAGGGATGCCTACTGAAAGAAAAAAAAAATCACCCAAACTGGTTTAGCTGGTTTTTAGAGTCCAAAAAGGCAATAGAAGGAACAATAAATACCAGCCCATTAAAACAAACAAGGGTGGGACCGGAAGTGTGCAGAAAGTAAGGAAGAAGTGACTGAGGGGTCTGCAGGTGCACCTCTTCCAGGCATTCCCTCCTCGGGAGCTCTGTGACAGTATTTTAGCCCTCCCTAGATTTCACTATTCTCCCTTAAAGTCAGCACCAAGCTTAAAAGAAAATAGTTCCAGGGAGAGCTTGATTATTACAGATACAGATAAAACCAACTCTAAACATACATCGTTCTCTACTTCTTAAGGCACAAACACACAATTCACATGCTTTCTGGAATATATATATATATGTGACACGATGCATTACCCAGGTCATCTTCCATCCATTACACATAACTGACCTTCTCCAAGAGTCCTCTGCAGCAAGTCATGTTTGGCTTGAAGTTTTGTAATGAGATTACTGCCTTCCAAATATTCTCTGAGTTTCTGCAAAAGACAAGATGAATTCATAACTTAAAAATTTCTCAACGTCAAGGAACTTGTCACAGGAGATCTAAAAGCCAGCCACTTGTATCTTTTAGATCCTAGAATCTTGCTACTCTAAGTGTGGTGTGCAGACCAGCAGGTCCAGCCGTCTCTGGGGAGCCTAATAGAGGTGCAGACTTTCGGGTCTCTTCCTTCTCAGACCACTTGAAATTAGAACCTGCCTTTCAACAAGCTCTTGTGGTGGCACATATGTACATTAAAGTTTAAAAGTACTGTTTTGGAGCAGTCTTCTAACTCCTAAACTCTCTCCCAGACTAACTGAATCAGGAACTCGGAGAGTAGGTCCATAGTTTAACAAAGGACCCAGGTGATTCCCATGCAACTACAGAAGCAGAATTTGGGAACCCGAGACCTAGGCTCTGTCCACAGTGGCTTGGGAAAGCAATGGACGCACCATGAAGTAGAACTGTTCTGTTTCCTGCTGGTTAGCTCTTCTCTTGGCGATGCTGGGCTTACTCAGGTAGGTTTCAGAGACAGTGGACTTCACAGACTCCGTGGAGCGACTATGCTGGAAGCATTCAGAAACATCATAGTCCTCAATGGTGACCATGTCTTGTATTGTCTGCAAGGTGGCTTCAGTTGTTTTCTTGACCTGGGAGCAGAAATACATTTCTTATGTGAGTACATTATTTCATGAATTCCACACCCACACTCAGTGAGAGTCAGAGATGAGAACATAGACACAGCTCCTGAAAAGTTCAGAGTCTATTAGGGAAGAAAGACAGCTAAATAATATTCCATATTACCAACATAAGGGGATGATCTCTTCAAAATTATCCTATGGAAGGATATCACTTTATATTTGAGTCCTTATAAATCTCATGCATCACCGGGTACTCTCTCAATTACTTTCTTGATTTAAGTACCCTTTTCAATTGGAGTAAAACTATGTACAGAAAAACACACAGATCATAAATATACAGTTGATGAATTAATGCAAGGTGAACACACCTATGAGAGCACCACTCAGATCAAGAAATAGTATGTCACGAGCATCTTCATGCCTCTCCCAATCACCATACATCCCCTATTGTCCCCAAAGGTACACACTACCCTGACTTCTAACATCATATATTAGTTTTTCCCTTTTTTGTAGTTTATATAAATGAAATCCCACAGCATGTATGATTTTATCTTGCTTCTTTTACTCAGCATTAGTGACATTCATTCATTTCTTGTGAGTATAGTATTTCGTTGCTGAATATTCATTGTAAGAATACAATATAATTCATGCCTTTTACTATTGATAGATGACATATTTTTAGTTTGGGGCTAACATTAACATTATTATTATTAACATTAACATTATTTTGAATAATGTTGCTATACACACATTTTTGTCGGGCCATACATACATTAGTATTGCTGCCACAGGGTATGCCAGACTGTTATCCAAAATGATTGTTGTAATTTATATTACCACCAGAAGAGCAGGAGAATCCCTGTTACTCTGCATCTTCATCAACATTTGGTATTGTCAGTGTGTTTAATTTAAATCGTATGGAGGGTGCAGTAGTATCTCACTGTGGTTTTACTATGCATTTTCCTGATAGATGAGCACAGTATCATATGTTTCAGGCAAATGGGATCTCCTTCACTGAGAATGCTTTGTTCAAATCTCTTGCTCAATTTTATACTGGGTAATGAGTCTATTTCTTAATGATATGTAGACATGGAAGTGAGTCTCTTGTTAGTTGTATGTGTTGCAAATATCTTTTCCCACTCTGTGCTGTGGCTTTTCACTCTTTTAAGTCCAGATGAACAGTTTCTAATTTTCATGTAATCAATTTATTAGTTCTTTCCTTTATGATTAGTGCTTTTTGTATCTTATTTAAGAAATATTTTCCTATCTTATGGCCATGAAGATACTGTTCTATGTTATCTTCTAGGACTTTTTTTTATTTATCTAAGGTCATATTCTTCCTTTGCTTATCAAAGTCTAATATAAATTGATAATTTTATCTTTCTCCCTCACAATGTAAAGAATTTAGAACACATTAATTCCATTTATCCCTCCAGATTTATGTTATTTTTGTAATGTGTTATAATAGGACATATATGTAAATATTTATACATATTTAAATAAAATACAAAATAAATAATAATAAATAATAAATAAAAAAATAAAGGTTACTGTTTTATATAGTCAATATTCATTTAACTTTATTCATATATTTATTATATACCCTATCTCCATTCCTTTTATTTTAAGAGCACCCTTTAGAAATGCTTTTTAGTATGCATCCATTTTTGTTGACTTGAACATGTCTTGTATTTCACCTTCATTTATGAAAGATATTTTTTGTAGTTGGCAGTTATTTTCTCTCTGTATATTAAAGATAATCACTGTACTTTGTTGTAGCTACCATGTTCCTGTTGAGTAAGAAGTTTGTTGTCAGTCTGTTACTACTTTGAAGGAAATCTGCTTGCTTTCTCCAGCTGCTTTTGAAGTTTTCCATTCATCTTTGGATTTCTATGGTTTTACCATAATGTGTCTAGGTAAGGATTTCAAAAATATATTCTGCCTGGAATTTTTCTGACTTCTTGAAGGTGTATGATGTTGTTCATAAGCTCTGATAAGTTTTCAGCCTTTATTTTTTCAATAATTTTTTCTATAATTTTTCTTCTGGGAGTTCAATTAGTATAATTTTCTATAATTTTTTTCTATTTTCTATAATTTTTCTTCTGGGAGTTCAATTAGTATATTAGACTTCATGGTGTTCTCTACATCTTTTATTCTTCTCTTCTGTATTTTCTATCTTTTGCTTTCCCACAATGCATTTTAATTATTTTATTCTGATTTGTCTTCTATTTTGATGATTCACTCTTCAGCTATGTCTATATTGAAATTAAAACCACCCACCGATTTCTTAATTTTTGTTATTGTATTTCTCAGTTCTAGAATTTCCATGTGGTTCATTTTCAAATCTGTTATTTCACTGCTTATTGCTCCCTGCTGAAATCTAGGCTTGACTTTTATTTCCTTGACATTGTAAATAGCTCTTTTACTTGTGATAATCCCAGTATCTGGAGTTCCTATGGGTGTGTCTCTATTATCTGTTATTTCTTCTGGCTACCACTCATGGGTTTCTTGGCTCCTACTGTGTCTAATTATCTTTTCTGGACATTTTTGTAGAGTTATTTGAGGTCTAAGGTGAAGTTATTTTTTCAAGCTACTAGGGGCATTAGTAGTTCAGAATCACTGGATGTTATTATTGTTCAAAATATCGGTTGTTCTTCTTTTTGGGATTATATGGTTCCCTGTGTCATAGGCTTCAGGCTTGGCTATATACCTTTTCCTGGGCAATGAAAGGTGAAAGCAAGAGTCATTGGATTGACTCAGTCCCTCATCATAGGAAGTGGAAATCTTTTCAATTACTTTTTTTTTTTTTAACTAAAAAATACGGTTTGGGAAAGGAACAATAGCAATCAGTACTAGTTTGGATGCTTTAACAGGTCATATGATAAAAAAAAGGAGGCAAAAAATTTAATAGACTTAATCATTATTCTAGGGTGTATGCACAATGGAAATGATAGATATTGTTGGAAAAAATCACATTAAAGATCATTAAATAAATACTGTAATTAGGCAAGGATCCATTATCTTGTCTCGCTGCTGCCCAAGATGTGGCTTCTGTCCATGTAAGCAGTGTTCTAGGTTGAGACCAATACAAAATCTAAAGTCCTTGGTCAATAAAACATCACAGATTCCTTCTTCTGTGGCAGAAGTACTGGCTATTGTATCCCAATATGTGTTTGTTAGGACATTTACTCTTGATGATGGAACAGGAGTATTAGAAGCTTATCTCATGGATTATGATAAATTCTTCCAGACTCCAGCATCAGAAATCCTAATCAATGATGACCTTCAGAAAAGTATGGATATGATCATGGGTACGTTTTGTCCTTTAGGAATAAAAATTGATGCGTATCTGTGGTTGGAATACTTCATCAAATTATATAATGTCACAAATAGAATGGAGCAGCAAATTTGTTATCAGATTTTTGACATCACAGTTGTGGAAGATCTTATCTAATATTGCCATTCAACTTAGCATATATAAAATACTGTAATATTAGAAAACGTTACTTTTTTTGAGATTGTTATAAAACATGTAAGAGATTTAACTGCTTTAAAACATACCATTCACATTTTTATTTTAACCACTATTTTAGATTTTTTTGGACAAATACACATTGTGCTATCTTAATGCCTTCTTGTAAGTCCGTTAAATTGTTCCTCTTGCTCAAAATACTCAGCATGATGGCTTCTAGGTACATAAAAGGAAAAGAGACATTGAATAAATAAGGACTATGTTTTTCTTACTCTTGGCCATCCTTTCAGACAAGCTATTTTGTTTCCCTACACTGAAAATCACTTTTTCTCTTGATTTTTCCAAATATCAGCCAGTGATTTTTTCTGCCATCCAACATCCCTGGTTGGGCTTCTTTTCCTGCCCTGGTTTTTATCAGCAGTGTTATAATGTTAGCCTGGGTATTAAATTAGAAAATGTTCTTACCTTAAATCTCTTGGCTTTTACTGGGTGCAGGTAAATAACAGCTATTGGTTTTTGTTTTGTTTCTGTACAGAGAGATCTGTTTAAACAAGTACTGCTAGGAGTGTTTTTCTAAGTGAGCTGCAGTGTATTAAAAGAGTGATTTGCTTTAAGGAGAAGTGGCAAAATGACTTTGTTTAGATTCTGATATTGATCATTTTAGGATAAATTTATTTTTTCAGACCTGAATTATGTGACTTGATCACTTATTTCTCTCCATGATATTAGAAGTTATTCCATTCCACCTCAACCTAAAAAAGTGGTCAGATTTACTAGGCTAGTGACTTATTTATATTATCCTTTTTTAATAGTCTCATGGAAAATATCCCTATATTACAGGTTTTAACTAATTGAATTAGATGTTAAATCAGTATAATATTCTGTTTTTTACACAATATCTGTCAAATTTAAAATCATGAATATTTAATTTTATGCAAATATTTCTACATATTTTTATATATGTATAGATTTGGGTATGCAATTTGCTAAAGACTTAGAAATACAGATCTGCCTAGTTCAATGTTAGTGATCAATAAAATCAATGTACATTGAAAAAACAAGTAAAAAAATACTATAATTAATTACTTTGAGGAGGTCACGGCTGAATTTAGACTCACCATCCTACGTTAGTCAGATAGGTTCTTGAGGCTTGTGACAGTATTATGCATAAGTTTTATTTATTTATTTATTTTTAGTTTTATTTTTGAGTCAGAGTGCCGTGGCGTCAGTCTAGCTCACAGCAACCTCAAACTCCTGGGCTCAAGCGATTCTACTGCCTCAGCCTCCCAAGTAGCTGGGACTACAGGCACGTGCCATCATGCCTGGCTAATTTTTTCTATATATTTTTAGCTGTCCAATTTATTTCTTTCTATTTTTAGTAGAGATGGGGTCTTGCTCTTGCTCAGGCTGGTTTCAAACTCCTGACCTTGAGCAATCCTCCTGCCTCAGCCTCCCAGAGTGCTAGGATTACAGGCGTGAGCCACCGTGCCAGGCCCCATAAGTTTTCAAAGTGTTATATCTCATACAAATAGATCTG